TCAGAGGCATTAACCGCTATACTAATCATGGCTGATGGATCGGGATGCATACAGAGCGTTTTAAGTGCTATACACTCTTTGCCTCTTGGAACGCTACTTGTATGAAATTTGTAAGTACGAGCTTACGTGGAATGCCACGAAGTAGGTCCGTCAATGGTGGTAGCCGTTCTGCAGCATAAGGAATGAACCGTCGGTAGAAATTTACCAGTCCCAAAAATGCTTTTTGGTCTTTGAGGGAAGAGGATAAGGTGTACTCTGTTATGGTACGAACCTGATCTTCACACAGCTGAATACCTTCTCATGTGATCTTGTGGCCAAGGAAACTAAATTCTGATCGACCAAATTCACATTTATCACGATTGACCACTATTTGATGGTCAGATAAACGTAGAAATAATAATGCCAAATGATGATAATGTTCATCTACAGTAGATGATGCTATTAAATCTTTGATATAGACGTGAACATAAACCAATTCTCGTGTAATGCTATCCATAAACCTTTGAAAAGTCTGAGCAGCATTTCACAAACCAAAAAACATACGTAGGAAATCAAACAGACCAAAAGTAGTCGTGACAGCAGTTTTTTCAACGTCCTCAGAAGCGACTGGGATTTGGTGATAGGCCCGTACCAAATCTATTTTCGAAAAATTAGTCAAACCATGAAGTGACGCGGTGATGTGTATGTGGGGAACTGGGTAGCTATCAAAGCGAGTCACTGCGTTAAGTGGTTGATAATTGCCACATGGTCACCAGCTAATGCCATCTTTTTAAGAACCATGGACCGTGAGAAGGAAGAACAATACCTTTTGAAAGCTAAATGTCGAACTCACACTTAGCAAAAGCTAATTTGTTCGGTGCCAGTCGTCGAGGTCGTGCCATTACTAGTGGTCCTTTAGTGGCTAAGTGGTGAGCCACACCATCTGTCACTAGGTTGATCTCCTCAATAGGTTTGGTCGAATTGGGGAAACGTTCCATTAACGAGTGGAACGAGTCAAGCGAATCGGGTAAGATACCTGAGATTTGGTGAACGTCCGTGCAAGCTTTGAGGCCCGTGAATTTAATGTTCAACGATGTATCAATCAACTGCGGTCTATATGAGTTAACAAGTGGCTCGTAGAGCTGCAGGAAATCGATACGGAGGATACCTGTAGGAACGTCCACGAGAATGAACGTCCACAGATACAGTCACTTTTCTAGTTACTTATCCGCACATTTATTTTTACGGATCTGCTTCCGTTCATATAATTTTAAATTGCATTTATAGTTTGTGGCTTAACAACCAAATAGCGGTGAAGAAACTTCGACGCCGTGACGCACTTCAGAACGGAAACCCTGAGCTCGCAAACCAACCACGCTACCGCTGGTTAAATCAGAAGACTTGTGATTGTTGTAAACGTTCAATAATAATAATAATAAGTGTATATTTCACGGAGACTCGTGAAGCATGCATAGGCATGATCAAATGTACAACATAATCATCCTTATATGAGAAGCCGAAAAGGTAAACTTTGAAGGTCGCATTAAACATAATTACAAATGGAACACAAAGTGGACAAAGAATCAGAGAAAAAGGTTCGAGATGGCGGAATGCTCCAAAAGAGCAAGTCGATGGAAGTAGGACGAAAAACAAGAATCGTTATACCGAATGAATGATGAGATAATTGGAAATACGACATTCAGTGAGTAAAATAACAGGAGGCAGCCTGCAGATCGTTAGACGGGAATGTACAGAAGTGGGGGTCACTCAGAGTGTGCATGATGGGAAAGCAGCCCAGTCATTGGAAGATTTTATTGTATCTTGCTTCTGGTTTTTCAGTTATACTCCGAATAAATTCACCACTGGATATCGTGCCAATCTAACGGAAGACGCCCTTTTTTCTTACAGCAGCAGATCTCTGGAAAGGAAGACAGAAACGCAAAACAGTCTAGGTTGTAACCTAGCTGATGAGGAAGTGGGAGGGAAGGAAGCATGCAAGTTATCGTGCAATTTAATCCAAGAAGTTCCGGACAGGCAAGTAGACGACTGCTAACTGCTTTGTCAGCATGTGCCACAGGAGTGGGTGGGATAAAAAGAATTGCGAAGTGATGATGAGGATTCGATGTCCAGAACTATGGGCGATAAACCTAGTGTAGGTTTTCACCAGAAGAATATCTACTCCACTGATCAGCTACTTAGGTTGATCAGTGTACTGAAGCTAGATTGGTTGTAAAAGTAAACACTGCTGAGGTAACATGGCACGGAGAAAGTACCGGTACCGGCTAACGGGAGTTTGCTTTGGAGCACTAAGGCACGAGAACCAACGAGCGCAATAACGAACAAAACCAAGCGAAAGCGAAAGGTGAAAGTCTCCTACGCGGAAGGATGCAGCAGTTTTCAATCGCATAAAACAAACGTTACATGGCGTTGTTACTAAAGTGAACATTTGAACATACATTTCATTGTAGAGGAAAAATGATGTCCCGCAAAAGTCTGATACGCTCCGGTTTTCACCGTACCGTCCGGCACACTACACCGATATCACAGGCCATCTCAAAGACAGCCGTGATCATACCGCTTGGTCGTTCCGAATTCTTCCGTATGCCATTCGGTTTGAGCAACACCTCACAGTCTTCCCAGGATTTTATAGACAACATCTATAGAGGTTTAGACTTTGTGTTTGTTTACTTACATACTTGCCACTGAATGCTGGCAAAAGCCAACTGTTGTCACGAGCGGTAGAGGGTATCACAGTTGGCTACGAGGTAGGTCCTTTCACTATGGAGANAAATGAAAAAGACCTAGGAATCTTGGTAACCGCTAACTTTTGGTTGTCCAATTAATGTGCCAGAGCGGCACAGAAAGCTAGGGTGAATTATCTAGACTAAGGTTCATGTTGTAGTGCCATAAAACTCGGTGTAAGACCATAGTAAGGCCTCATCTAGAGTATTGTGTCCAGGCATGGTCACCCTTCTTCAAAAAGGATGCTGCCTGTTTAAAGCGGGTTCAACGGCTGGCAACAAGAATGGTTGAGGGTCAGCGCGGCAAAGAATACAAACAAAGGCTTCAGAATCTGGGACTAGTCACTTTAGAAAAGAGAAAACTCAGGGGAGATATGATAGAAACATCTAAGATAGAGAAAGGTTTATCTGGTATTAGAACAGAAACCCTGTTCCAGGAAGCACTAGATTCCCGTGCAAGGAGACAAAATGGAGTTAGCCAAGGCCCGGTCTTGATTGATCGCCCGGTCACATTTCTTCAACAACAGGATATCAACATTTGGAACAGACTACCTGTGGATCTAGTAGAACTGCAGACTGTGCTAGCATTCAAGACGGCCCTGGACGAACGGTGGTCTGAACTTGTTCCAGAAGTGGAGGCCTGACCATCCAGTTAGCTGCTTAAGAAAATCAGTAGTGGGAGCGGCACCCTCAGATTACATGTTCTTTGTTTCGTCCTGCCATTTATTTGCATGTAGTTCGGGCTGGTTCAACACGTTACAATGCCAACAAGACACTGAAAAGGTCAGTCGCCCTCACTACTAGACCTATTGATTACAAAGTGCCACAAGGATATTAGTGAACTAAGAGCGGAGGTAACTCTGGGCAAAAGTGATCATGTAGTTATGAAGGCTTTACTTTCCATACACAAACCATTGTGTCCAGCAGCCTTCATTAAGTATTATGGCCAGCTAAGGATAGAAGAAATGGAAAGGGCTATGACAACAATGTCCTGAGAGCCCAAACATCCCGACCATTTCTTAGAAGAAAGATGGGAAGCCGTCAAAAGCGCTGCGGTTAACAGCGGAGTTCTTACCGCTTAGGCCATTCAGAGAACAACGGCAGCCTCCGTGGTGACGGCCAATCAGGACACTCATAAAAGCGTACAAAGAGATATATCGCTTACAGTACGTGAACCAATTCACACTTGAGTGACGCGTAGCCGAAACTGATACGAATCCCGAAATAAAACACGACTGATCCGTGAAATTCTACGGTGTTGAATTAGCGAAATCATTACAAAATGTACAATAAAGCAAACCTCAAATAGGCGGCCAAAAGCACTCAAGCAAGCGAGCCAAATGTGATGTCCAGAGAGAGTCAAACGGTCACTCACGTCCTCTGACCACGCCAAATTCAAATGTGCCGGGCACCGAATTAACAGATAAAGAATAATGTATGGTGTTTGTGATTGAGAAATTTCAATAGAGAAGCAACAAACCCTGAATCATTATGGGTTTCGAAGGATATTCAAAAATTCAACATGAAATACATTTACCACTCCAGACCCATGATGACCGAAACTGGCAGAGAAAATACAACTCCTCGGGATTATCTGAGCTGTGGTTGAACGAAGAAAATGTCAGGGGAGAGCTACACACCCTGTGTAAATACCAAGCTGTTGCGCCAAATGGAATCGACCCGACCGTAGTTCATCCACTGGCCAAAGTCCTTGCTCTACCGATGATGTTGCTTCACGCGGACTCACTCAGGGAGGGTAACCTGCCTGGAAAGTGGAAGACGGCAGCAGTGGTGGGTATATATAAGGGTGGTGCCAGGTCAAAGCCCACGAACTATAAGCCAGTTAGCCTAAAATGTGTTCTATGCAAATACCTAGAACATACAGTGAGGCGACATTTATGTGAGCATTTTGTGATTCACAGCAAAATAACACCAGCGCAGCATGGATTTGTGACGGGAAAGTGATGCCTGACAAATTTTCTGCTGTTCCTAGACGATGTGACCAGGAGACTCGTTAAAAGTCTTACTGTGGTAGTGTGTTACATGGACTTCAGTGAAGCTTTTGACACGGTCAATCACAGATACCTGGACCACAAGCTGCAACAGTAGGCAGTGCAGGGAGGGCCAGGACCTGGGTGAATAATTTCGTCAGGGAGAGGACCTTCAGAGTAAGAGTTGGCAAGTACACTACAGATTCCGCAGATGTGATCAGTAGAGTACCCCAGGGGTCTGTACTCGGCCCATTACTCTTCCTCATCTGCATGAACGACCTGCCGTCGCGGCTGCGGAACCCGTGCTACCTGTTTGCTGACGATGTGAAGGTGGCCGGCGCAGACAGGGATGAAGATTTTGTGGCTATACTATCCTGGTCACATAAGTTCCAACCCTTCCACAAGGCAGTCATCACAGCAGAGAAATAACAACGTGTGTCACGAATAAGTTCTTGGCGGCTCACAGAGAGAGGTTGCACTAGTAGCGAATCAGAAATGTCCTCTGGCTCCGAAACGGGTAGCGATTGACGCGCAATGTAATCCACATATCGGATGTATTTGGCGCTGTGATGTTCAATTGCCTAATCATATGCACTGAGTGAGATACTCCGACGCTAAACCATAGCTACAGAGCTTCTGAAAAGGAATTTCCCAGGATCGAAAATGAATTTCAAGGCCTCATGATCGGTAACGATGGTAAAATGATGACCAAAAAGGGACTTGTGGAGGCGCTTGACTGCCCAGTATACCTCTATACTTCACGATGAGTTTGAGCATAGCCTCGTTCAGCTGCTGTTAACCGGCGAGACACACAAATAGTTGGATGCCCATTCTGCTCAAAAATCGCACCAATTCCATCGGGTGAGGCATCAGTAATAACAGTAGAATGAATTTTGGGATTAAATGGGTAAAGCACAGCATCAGTCTGCAGAAAATTTTGCAATTCACGTAAGCAACGTTCATGAACATCAGTCCAAACAAATTTGTCAGAAGAAGAGAGAAGAAATAGAGGTGAAGCTTTCAGACTGAAATTGGGGATAATTCCAGAGTAATACTGTAGGGCTCCAATCAATGATCTGAGTTCGCGCATGATAGACGTGATTTGGCTGTTGTTAGAGGAAGTAGACGGTTCAGGTCAGGTTTGTACCCTTTACCATTAACTAAGTATCCAAGACATTCAACATGAGAGATAGAAAATAAACACTTCTTAGGATTAACAGAAACATTCTTATAAAATCTACGAAAGAGTTCAAGCAATCGTGCTTCATGAGCGGACTTGTCAGGAGCATGAACAATAATGTCATCTTGATATACTTCAACACCAGACATTCCACTAGTAATATCATTAATAACTTGTCGAAATATTGCAGGATACACGGATAAACCGTATGGCAGAAACCTGTATCTGTACAAACCAAAAGGGGTATTAATAGTTGTCAAAATGAATGAGGTCTTATCCAACGGAATTTGTAAATATGCATCTTTTGAGGCAATCTTAGAAAAGATCTTAGAACCAGTCAACTTATTCAGGATGTCCTCTGATTCAGCCATGTCCGCTTCACCAGTCTTGGATTTAAGGTGATTCGGTAGTCACCACATATTCTGGGGGTCTTGCCATCCGACTTGAGTGATGTGACATGCAGAAGACGACACTTTCTCTATAACACCTTTGGAACACACGTTGTTCAATGCATGACAATGACAGGTTCACGAAAGCTATATGGAATTACTCGGCGTTTAAGAAATACTGGATCGCCATTAACTGGTAGTCTCACTGGAGGAATTTTCATACCACCACTGGCCTTTGAGCATTTAATAATCAAATCCTTCAATTACAACAAGGAAAAATTGACATTTAATGCTTGCATGACCTTCAAGCCTAGTATGGATAGGCCAGACTTGATTACAATGAATGTACAGGTAACACTTTTAGAATGTTCATCACTGACTGAAATCTCACAAGAACCAACAACAGGCAATGAGTATCCAGTGATGCCATTTATGGTGACAGAGGACGGCTGAAGTTTAGCATCTGGAGCAAACAGTTTCAGATCGCGAACAGAAATTAGAGATTTCACACGACCCGTGTCTGAAATGAAATGAAGCGAATTACCAGTGGAACTAAATAGCTTTTTAAGAATGTGACCGGAATGGGAAGAAATTGCCAAAGATAAGAAAGAAAAATGTTTGTCCATATCACCCAATTCTGAGTCCAGGGATTGAATTAAACGACAGGTTTTCGTACTGCGACAAACAGACTAAATAGGCCCAGTTTTGTCACACTTGTGACATGAAGCTTAACGAAATCGACTTGTGAATCTGGAATGACGTTTGCCACAGGATGCACAATTGCCATAGGATTTATCCGAATGTCACATTGTGTAAGGTGGACTGTGTAACCGGTTTGAAGCGTCCGGCTGTAGCATGAGCTTTCGTGGATTTAGTCGTGAGTGAATTGAACATGAGTGTAGATTTGATGGTGGACGGCATTGATGAAGTGGCGGCGCGAATGTCCTGATATTGTTCACAATAATCCCAAACATCTTTGAACCTCGGATTGGATAGCTTCAGAAGTTCAATTTGCAAAAAGGTATTGTTAATGCAGCGATCGGCCGATCTTTCAATTGCATGTCCAGTAAATCTCCAAAATCGCATTTGTGGCAGACATTGGGGGAAAGGTGTGTAGTTTATTCCAAGCG